CCTGATAATAGAAATGGTTACCAAACAAAGGAATATGACTATTACTGAGAATGTTATGTTATTCCCGGCCTATTCCGTGAACCAAACGGACCATTAATGAATATGCCCTAAACAATTACAGAGTATAATAAATAGGAATAAGGGTCAAATAGGCCACCAAACTGCACACGAGAATGCAATTAGGCCACTGAACCTAAAAAACCTACAATTGGGTCCCTAAACTAACCAATTTCATTCAATTTGACCATTTTTCAGATTTCTCAAGTTGCTAACAGGTTACCCCTCCACCTAGGATGCATATGTGGCATTTAAAAAAAATATTTTTAAATTAATTTTTTTAATGTTTAATAAATAAAAACTAAAATAATTTATTTTTAAATTAGTTTTTTAATATTTAATAAATAAAAACTACAATAACATTTTTTTTGAAAATAAAATCTAAGCCCTGTACGATATTTTATTTAAAAATAAAACAAATTATTTTAGTTTTAATTTATTAAACATTAAAAAAAAAACTAATTTTAAAATAAATTATTTTAGTTTTTATTTATTAAACATTAAAAAACTAATTTAAAAATACATTATTTTTTTAAAAAATGTCACATATGCATCCTAGGTGGAGGGTTAACCTGTTAGTAACTTGAGAAACTTGAAAAATTGACAAATTGAATGAAATTAGTTAGTTTAGGGACCCAATTGTAAGTTTTTTAGGTTCAGTGGCCTAATTGCATTTTCGTGTGCAGTTCAGTTGCCTATTTGACCCTTATTCCTAATAAATATAAGACATGAAGATTGATCATTAAGTATATTTTAATAAGTAATTAGACTACAAATATAATATTTTAAAAATAAGTTAATTTCATTTTTTATCCTAGATTTATATATGGTAATTCACTTTTAGTCCTTTTTAAATCATCATTTGGTTCTAATATTATTATGGCATGATCATTTTTTATCCTCTGTCAACAAAATCGTTTAAATATCGTTAAATACAAAAGTATTTTGATCATTTTTTTATACAGTGGATTGACCCCACTATATTTTTATGTTTATTTTTAAATATATATATATATATATATATATATATATATATATATAATTGAAGACAAAAAGCATTTGTATTTAACCACATTTAAATTGTTTTGTTGATAGATGACCAAAAATGATCATGTCGCAATAATACTATGACCAAAGAGGGATTTTCTGGAAAAAAAAAAAAAAAAAAAAAAAAAACTAAAAGTTGAATGTCACCTATAAATATAAGACCAAAAATGGAATTAACTCTTTCAAAAATACTCCAAACATCGAACAACATCCATATTGATTATAATTCTTTTTATTTGAAGAACCATACTGATTATAATTGATACCATTCCAAAGTAAATAATGAATGCTTTGAGTTTCAAATTTTCGGGTATTATGGGCACAATGTTACAACAACATCCAATACAAACTTAACATTTTTCCCAAAAATTTTGACTTGTACTCGATACTAACAGCACTAGTGTTGATCGACCCCATAGACTTACTATATATATAATAACTTGTATCTTGTGTTTATTTTCTTTTACACTTACAAATTCTTTTTTATTTAAAATTTTTCATTTAAGTGATCTATTTATTAATTTTGTTGTTTTTATCTCCTTATAATTTGACTACTTTTTTTTTTTTCACTTGATATTTATTCAATCACATCATGATATTTGAATAGTAATTGTTTATAAATATGTAACTTTGCAATGAAATACTTAAATATAAGTATATAATCATATCATTTGAGACAAAATTTTAATATAGTGATTTGAAGAGGGCAATATTCCATTATTCCTTCCTCTTTTTGTTGGGGGGGGGGGGGGGGGGGATTGAGGATACAAATGACATTACTATTGTTAAGATATCAACATTTTTAAATTCATCATCACAATGCAAGCAAGATCAAGTGTTTATGCTCATTAGGTAACACGTGACACACAAACAACATTGTAACATCACTCAATGACCTTTTATCTATTTTAATGCACAACATCAAGAATATTTTTTTAAATGCGGAATTTGATAATTTATTTATTTATTTTATTAATCTTCTCAACTAAAATTTTATTCATAGCCTTTATGTGTGTGATGCGTTAACGTAAATGTCCAATATTAAAATTATAATTATATTAGTGTGATTGATCTATTTTATGTAGTTTGTAGGTTATTTTATAGAATAAGATTTACCCAATATATTAATGAGTAATGAATGCGAATTTCTCTCGTAAAAAAAAAAAAAAAACAAAACAAAACAAAAAACAAAAAACAAAAAAAAAAACAAAAAACAAAAAACAAAAGTTTTATTACTTATTTGCTTGGCTTGCTCTACCTAATAATATTATTTGTAGTTATTTTAAATTTGACATCAATATAATATTAATAATTTACTATATTAGTAAATACTTCGTAATAAATAGTTAATGGTTTTGGTGAGGTTATAAGGTAGTATGACTTGCCCAATAACACCAAGAATAGGCTTAATCTCTAAAGCTAACAAAATTAAAACATGACGTTTGGTTGGAAGGAGGAAATTATAGAGGAAAGGAATTGTAATTTTATGAGAAAAGAATAAAGTGAAAATTTAAATTACATTGTTTGGTAGGAAAAAATAGAATGATTGAGAATTGAAAGGGAAGAAGTGAATAAAGACTAAAATGTTCTTATATAATAATAATATAATAATCATAAGAAGAATATAAGGGTAATTCAACATGGAATTACAGTTCCACAAAGTATAAAATTGCAATTTCTAAGGGGGACCCTAGGAATTGCAATTCCGTGATTGGAAGGAATTGTAATTCCGTGGAATTACAATTCTATCCTACCAAACACCCCATAAATTCTTGGAGAATCAATTTGATCATAGCTTGTTGAGAAAATTGCTGGTTAACTCAACTTGGTTTGCAAGTGCGACGCGCCATCCTAATTGACTTACGTTTGCAACAGTGGACACCTAGACTACCAAAGCTATCTCAAAGCACTGGTACACTACCTTACTAGTGCCTAGCTGGTCACATTTACGAACTAGAGAGCGCCACGTTAGTTCACTTATAAAGTATTTTGATCTTATACCAAAGGCTACCTAAATTTTAAATAAATAGCCTCTTAAGCTTTGTAGTCTGGATCATTATTACGTATCACTTAATCACTACCTATACTAGTTTAAAAGCAACTCCATTTGTGCACTTTGAAAGAGTTTGTGCAGAAGAAAAAAACTTGGGATAGGTTTTGTGCACTTTGAAAGAGTTTTTTTAGAAGAAAAAAAAAAACTTGGGATAGGTTTTGAATAAATGGGAGGGTGGTTTTTTGTTTGTTTGTTTTTTTTTTTTTTTTTTTCTTTTTGTAAATAAAGTTTCTTTGTCGGACTCATGGTGCAGGGAGAAGAGAGAAAGAGACGCATAGTTTTGGTGTGAAGGCCATTGCTCGCGCGCAACATGGCACTGTAAAAATCAAGTAAAATCTTTCACTAATGTTGTTGCTCTAATATTGTAACTGATTAGAGATGTCCAATCACACTTGATCAATACTTCTTAGATCATCTTGTAGTCTTGTACATATCCTTACAAAGCCTAAATGTATTGACTAATAATAAGAACATATCATTTTTATCTCGATTATCTCATATAATCTTTATTGTATATGTAGTACAATCAGGGACTCGTACCTCTGGTCAAAGGCTTAATTGATATTTTCCTAGTTAATCACTTCAGTTAATATATTTAAAGTTATACATAGCTCAGCTCACAAAATGGAATATTTTTGTGAAGTTACTTTTAAAATTTTCAAATTTAATTATGCAAAAGTTGATAGTCACATTAAATTGGGTGACAAGAAAAATCAGCAGTCATTATTGGTGGTAAATCGTAAACCAGTCTGGGTTGCCTATAACTAACTGACTTAAATAAAAAAAGACGAATCAAACTTGTAATCTTGTGATTATCAACGTTGATCAACTTGACTGAATTGCATGATCTTTAATTTGTAATTATGGTTAGTCTCATTGAACATGGAGAAATACCCAATTAAGAAGATGAACTTTGAAAAGCATACATAATTTTTGATAATTTGACTTACCTAAAAGTAAAATTTAGTGTCTGTCACTAACCAAAAAGTTAGAAAAGTTGTATAATATTCATTGAGTAAATTCATTTATTATTTCCTTAATATTTATTTATTTTTAATATCCAAATGATCATGGTAAAACATTATATCTGTTATTCTGAAGACTGGTATATGACTATATGGATCAATTTATATATATTTTATATAAATTTATTTGTTTAACTCAATTAATAAATAAATTACTGAATAGTCAATAAGCACACAAAAAAATACTCATTTTTTAAAAAAATTTTACGTAACATTTTTATTATTATATTATTCATTAGTAAAACTAACATTTACTTTTTCGTTTATTTTTAACAATTTATTATGATTTTAAATTTTTTTTATTTAATATTATATTTACAAATATTAATTAAATGTTTTTTTTTGAAAAATTAGATTAAATGTTTTAAAAATTAATTATTAATAAGTTGGGAAGGATGTAGTATTATTTAATTAAAAAATTAGTTAAAATGTCGAGTACCTTGTGCTCAATTGACACTTCTGTTACTCTTATTAAGTAAAATTCATAAATCGAATCTCGATGATTATTGGTTCTTTGTGTTTTAGTAGGTTGAGAAAGTATATGAACAGATACTACATTGTAATAGAGCCGGTAGCATTCAAAAAAATTATTAAGTAGATACTAAATTATAATAGTATGAAAAAAAAATAGCTGAAATTTTCCTTTTATTATTTGTTTTTCATTTCTTTCGTTTGACATTTGCGAAGATGAACCAACATAACAAACAACCTGCTTACGACACGTTTCACTAACTCCGTTACAGTTAATGGTCCGCCGCAGCGTGATTTTCTTGAACGGAGACTGACGGAATTATAAAACCGTTTAAACAGACCCACTCCTGTCTCTCTCTCTCTCTCTCTCCCTAGTACTCCTCCCGACTTCCACAGCCAAGAGCCGCTGAATAATCAGAACATTTTCTCACTCTAGTTTCTCTTTCTACATTTTCACACCCACCCCACTTTCCCAGCTTCCGACTACGACTGTCTCTCGCCGGCCTCCGATCGGCGGGCGAATCCATATCCTTCGTTCACCTTCTTTCAATTTGCTCTTTCTATACGGACGCTACTCCATATTTGTGGTGAGGATGTTATGCGTGTATCTGGATGTGTGTGATTGATTTATTGAATAATCATCGGTTAAACGTGAAAACTATGGTGATTAGTAGGTTTTGTGTGCTTTTGTGGCTGTAATCACTGTTTTATCGACTCATGAATTTCGGATCTCTTTGACTTCCTTAAGGATTGCGTACTTTCTATTATAATGGGTTTTGTGTGACTCGGACTCGCTCCTTGTGCTGTTCTATTGTTAACTAGCTGATTGATTCGGTTCTAGGTTCTTTGCTGTTACTCAATTTTTTTTTTTTTTTTTCTAATTATGATTATTTGGCTTTAATTTTTATTTTATAGCTTCTTTTGTATGAGAATATGTATTTTGAGCTGTGTCTATGTACTTGATTCTGTAAATATTACCGTGTTGAGTGCTTTTGAAGATTATTCAACTGTTTTGCAGAATCAGTGAAGAGGGCTTTATTGAATAGTAGTGCTTTGCTTGACTTCCATAATTGTTCATGACCTTGGATTTTTTTTTTTTTTTTTTTTTCATTTAATGCCTTTCTTTATTGGAAATTGATAAATAATAATCAAGTTCTAACAGTCACAGTGACAGAGTATTTTCTGCTGTTTTGAAATTATGACTTATGAAAGAGAGTAATAGCAATAGATGCTAAGAAGGATAGAAGGTTTTTTCCATGCAGTCCATTTCTTTCTATTTTGGATTTGTTTTATCTGTAGAAATCATGACTGATGAACGAGGGTAATGGCAATAATTTCTATCATCTATTGATATTGCTGTGTTGAAATCATGACTGCTGAAAGAGTGTAATAGCAATAATTTCTATTAACTATTGATATTGCTGTGTTGACATCATGACTGATGAAAGAGGGTAATAGCAATTGATGAGAAGAATAGATTAGTGTCTTTCGGTACAGTCCATTTCTTTCTATTTTGAATTTGTTTTATTTGTAGAAATCATGACTGGTGAAAAAGGTAAGTGCAATGGTTTCTATCATCTATTTGATATTGGTGAGAGGTTGTTTTGAGTTTTTCTGTGATATGTTATGCTTTGTGTAGTGAGGGAATGTCACAATCATTGTTGCTTCTTGCTCTTTGCTAATTATACTGCTTTATTATGAATTTTTATATTGGTTGTGGAGATATGTGAAGGAATCTATTGACAACCAGGGTGAATGACATTTGAAAGACTCTTTGTCTGCTGTAGTGATGTATTTTATTGCAGGGTATAGATAAATTGTTACTAGGCCAAATGCTGCAGTTTCAAGTGATTCCTGACATATTCAGATTCATTTTCCTTTAAAAGGCGTTCTTTGTTTGTCTCTTATATAAGATCTTTTCTACATGTTTCTTGTCTTGATTATTGTGCATAATTCATTGCAATAGCAACATTGTCTATTTGCCACTGTAATTACTGATTTTTATTTATTTATTTTTAATGATGATTTCAGGTATACTATTTATTGTTTTGTGGAATGTTTATTGGTTGACAGCTTGCAACCAATAGATTTTACTCTTTGTATGTGAGCATGGGATCTGCTTGTTCTGTAGCTGCAAGAGATAGAACAGTAACAAATGGATCAACCAGTGAAGTTTTGCAGAGGAATGTCAGATATTCACCATCATGGAGCTTCCGGTGGGATAATCGAGGGCGAGTAGCAGGGGAAGACGTATCACTGAATTGGTCTTCTGATGGAATTAGTGGTAATGATAGATTTGATTTTAAGTCTAGGACAACTGTAGAAACAGTATATGCCTCTGAAGAGGGAAGCCCATTGGATAGCTTCAGGTCACTTGCATGGCAGAAGTCACCTACTTCAGAAAGAAATGGTGGAAGTATGGCACAACCTTCATCAGGTATACTCTATGGTTGTCCCTTTATTTTTCCTTGGAGGATATGTAGATAACATTGTAAGCAAGTTATTAGTCAGAAAATTATACAGCGTAGGATCAGAATTTAGAACTTTAAAGTCTCAAATGCAGCTTAGAAAATCAGAACGTTGAGTGCTGTCATTTTACTCCTTCCTGAAGGACATAATTCTTATCTCTTCAGATCTATGTAATTGTGATGCATTCTTCAAATGGTATGCTTAGCAATGTGTTTCTTGTGGAAAAACTGAAAAAGATTGGAAATAATGTTTCTTGGAAGTTATAAAAGGTCAACTTCATATTTTCAAAATTTCTAAGCTTGAGTTTGACATGAGGAGATGGAAATGGTGGCGAGAGAGTATAATTATTTTCTGAGTTAATTACCGAAATGGTCCTTTGACTATAGCGAAATTACCAATTTGATAGTGGTGTGAGGAAGTACAGAAAACACATAATTATCAACACCTTTCCCTTTGAAGCTGAGGTTCTCATTTTCTTCAAGGAAATATAAACTATGACAGAATGCATAGAGATTTGATTTGTAGGATTACTTGGGTATGATGACCCCTTTCGCATAGTTCTTGTTGGTTTAACTAATTGTTATTGATACCTCATTATTCCTTGATAACTGGGATGAAGCATAACATTGCTGGGGTTATAACTATCTGCACAAAGAATGCCCGACTCCTTAAAGAGTAAACTTTTTTATTAGACAATGATGTTATGATGGACAGTAAATCTACATGAGAGTAAATTTTTATTTTTTAGTTTGGTTATGTTGTTGCATTGTAGGGAGCATTATTCTTTGTACCATGAGAGGGAAACAAAATCAAATTGGTGTATATTTGTGGTTCTTAGTTTATATTATATGGTTATTCAAAGTCCTTTTAACTTTCACTTCATCTGTTATTTCTTTTATGACCCCTTCATCCTTATCTTTACAGATCCTTCGGCGGCTGTGAACTCTACTGAGGTAAGAACATAACAGATGCTTTGAATATCTGAATTTTCTTGAATATGCTTTGTATGTGTTTGGTAGATTTTTTGCTTATGATATATCTGTTTTGGAGGGTTACGTCTTCCTTCTCTGTTCTATATTTAGGTAATAGAGTCAACAAGATTGCCTGCAGTATCTTATCAATCTCCTGCAAAGTTGCCTTCATCAGTGCCTTCTGTTTCATCCCTTTCTACATCACCTTTGTCATCACAAAGTCAGCAGCTTCCTGTGAACTTGACTCCATCAAGGTTGCCTTGCCACTCTCCTAGACATCAACTGTTGCGGCAAGTATCTGATAGTCGTGTACTGGGAATCAGGTCCCCAACTTTCTCTATATCTGAAGAAGCATCTTCTGTCATGCTACCTGGTTGGAGCAATGAATCAACTAGAGGCTCTCATTGTGGATCGTCAGATAGTTGGTCTATTCCTGCCTTTCCTGAATTCCTACAAACTTCTCGCAGAGATAGGTGGTCTTTTGATAGTGAAAGCTTTGGCTTCCTTTGTGACAAAGTAACCAGATCTAGTGGAAGAACTTCTGGTTCACCCTCTTTAGATCTCCGGACATGTGGCATTTGTGGAAAGCTGCTAACTGAGAAATCTTCATGGTGTGGTCGGAAAGGTATAGAATCTAATGAAATTGCTGTTGTTGCTGTTCTGACATGTGGACATGTTTTCCATGCTGAGTGCTTGGAGAATATGACATTGGAAATCAACAAGTATGACCCGGCTTGCCCTGTCTGTACATTTGGGGAGAAGCAAGTGTTGAAGATGTCCGAGAAGGGCTTGAAAGCAGAGATGAATTCAAAAGCTAGAAAGAGATACAGGAATCGAGTTGTTGATAGCGATTATAATGAAAACCTTGCCATGTTAGAGCACAACCAGAAAAGTAGTGGACATGTGGGGAGGTGTCCCAAGATGAGCCCAAGTTCAAGCATGAAGTTTTCTTCTGGAAAGCCATTACTGGGACGCCATTTTTCATTTGTATCAAAGGGGACAAGAACCTTGTCCGAGAGTAATTCTACTCGGAAGAAGGGGTTTTTCTGGACAAGATCTAGCAAGGAGAAAGCTTCTTCCTGGAAACAATAGTTAAGCAGCATGTTTGTACTTCTGAAATTTTTTTCCTTGTCACATTCAATCATGCTATGGTCGCACTTCCTTTTATTGCGTTTGGTTTTTAAATTACTATTCTCCGACACTCGATTTACAGATATTCAATGTGTGATCTTGCAATCTTGCATTGCTACTTGGCCGGTAGTTGGAGGCGTGGCAAGAAGTCAATTGAAGACCTTACAAAGACAAAGGGATGACTAAATTGTTTTGCTGGCAGATTTAGGTTAGCTTCTTTCTGAAGATACAATGTAAAGAGAATTGAAGGGGAAGGAATAGAGATGGAAGGGTATGAATTCAATATAGTAAAAAGGGAATTTATAACGGCAAGTTATTTTCTGTCTTTGTACATTCAATTTGGTTTTGTTTCATGTCAAGTGCATGAATTATTTCGAAGGCTTGGTACGCTTGCTTATGATGTGTGGTTGATTCCAATTAACACGGATGGTCTATGAAATAGCATTTTATTAGTAGTCACTAGTGAATAGCTATAGCCGTAGAGATGTGGCAAACTGTTTCCAGTTTTTAACTTGTACTGAAAAAAGCAGTGCATAATAAGTGATACGTTTGTGTAAATTGCATTTGTCCATTGGCCGATACCTCTAATCCGTGACACCATAGCCTTAGATAGGGATGTCAACCCAGCGAGGACAGGACGTATACCCAGTCCCAAAAACCTCACCCCAATTGAAGTTGACCTTGGCTTCTTTGTCCAGTTGAATGGAGAAACTAGCCATGGCTTCTCCGTCCAGTTGGATGGAGAAACTAGCCATGGCTTCTCCATCCAATTGGATGGAGGCCTGCCTGGCTTCCTTCTTCGTTGAGGAGAAGTTGGCTATATGTGTTTCCTTATATATATATATATATATATATATATATATATATATATATATATAATTTATTTATAAATTATTTTTTTTAAAAAAATTAAATTTACTTTCTATTATTTTGAATTTACCTGTAAATTGAATGAATTGCACAAAAGTAAAAAGATAAAATGTTTAATGCAGAGTACTTTAATTAAAGTTTTTCTTAATTTAAAAAATTAATTACACTTTAATTTATAGTTGAAAAGGCCTTATCCTTTTAAAATTAGAAAAACAGCTAAATTATTTTACTAAGAGCATCCACACTTGTGTATATTGTGGGGAGATTTCAGCATTAATTCTTCCCTACATGAGATAATAACTAGTGTGGAGGGGAGATAATTGAAAAAGAATCCTCCTGCAAATGTGAGGATATTGTCAAAAAAAAAAAAAAAAAAAAAAAAAAAAAAAAAAAAAGAAAGAAAGAAGAAGAAGTAAGGCTGTGCGCGTTCGCGCACAGCCTTAGGCAAAAGCCGGGCGCGTGCACTGCACGCGCACGGAGGCGCGTCTGATTACTTTTTTTTTTTAATTTTATTTTTGTTTTGTTTTTTCTTTTTTTTTTCTCTCCTCTCCCACACTCTCTTTCCTAATCACTCTTACATTATCTCTCCATTCTTCCCAACCAATGTGGATGCTCTAAGTTTTCTAAATTTGTAGAAAATTCGATTTCAAAACCTGTGTCATCAAGTCTATACGGCAGTCACAGCTCTCTCTCTCGCTCGCTCACTCGCTCGCTCTCTCTCTGTCAACTCGAAATGGTACTGCAAATGCTCTCTCACTCCCCTTCTCTAGATTCCACCAGCTCCGCTCTCATCTCTCGGTTGCCGTCTTCATCTTCCGCGCCCTACGGCGGATATAACCGCCGGAGAATATTTTTCACGCCGCTCTCTTATTCGTATTCAGCGCTAAAGTTTTCTGCAATTTCACGCGGAATTAAAACGATGACTAGGAACTCTGTGCTCTCCAATCACACCGGAACCTCTGACCTTCAGTTGTCAGACTCAGAGCTTGATCTCTTCGTCGATGTCGGCAACAAGCTTGCCGATGCATCCGGCGAAGTCATTCGCAAGTACTTCCGCAAGACCTTCGACATTCTCGACAAAGATGATTTGAGTGAGCTTTTTGAGATTTATATGTGTTCAACTATTTTACTTTGCAGCTTGAATATGAATAAATTTTCATTTGAATTCGTGATTTAGGTCCCGTGACTATTGCTGATCGAATGGCGGAGGATTCCATGGTGAAGATAATTCAGGAGAATTTCCCTACCCATGCGATGTGAGCTACTTTAAAATTTGCCGGGATTGGTTTCCATAATACATTTTCTATTTGAGGATTATGTACTTTGATGCAAATATATGGATGCTTGACTTCTCAATTCATTCAATCACCATTTTGAATTTTTTGCTTTCTCAAGCAGTCAGGCTAGCCAACTTAATTGTAATTTGGATTATAAGAAATCATTGGCTTCATGTTGCTTTCTGAAACATACATTTCTCTTCTTCATTGCTCTTTGGGCCATGTTGGCTTCATAATGCTAATTTCAGTTTTGGAGAAGAGAATGGCTGGAGGTGTAAAGAGAAGACACCTGAGTATGTTTGGGTTTTGGACCCAATAGATGGGACTAAGAGTTTCATTACTGGTATTTGCATTCTTCACGATCCCATTGCTGGTCAGTACTGTGAAAAACCCAATTTATTTACTAGTCAACTGATTCTTTTTTTTCATTTATGTTTACAGGCAAACCTCTTTTTGGAACTCTAATTTCTCTCCTATACAAAGGTGAACCGGTATGTGTTAGCACATACTAGGCTGAAATCTTAACAAAACATTATTTTCACAAGCATAAGATTCTGATGTCTGAAACTGTCAAGTGTGTTGTCAATTCAATTAATACACAGCCATGTAGTAGCGTATTTTAAATTGTCTCTTACTAACTTTAGGAATATTCTACATAGCATCCACTTAGCAGAAATAAAAGAATAGTTTAGTTTAGCTAATAATTGTTCATTTCTCGTATTGACTTCTGCTAGCCAATAAGAAGTTAGTGAATAGAATGCTTAGTTGGGTAAAAAAAATGCTTTGAACCTTTACCATCTTGATATGCTTAGTATGTAATAATATTTTATTGTCTTTTTATTCTTTTCCAGATTCTTGGCATTGTTGATCAGCCTGTCTTGAGGGAAAGATGGCTTGGGTTGCATGGGAGGAAAACTACTCTGAATGGGCAAGAAATCTGCACACGCAGTTGTTCCGACCTTTCACGAGCCTATTTGTATGTTATCCCCAAACACAACCCTCTTTTTTAATGGTGAACAAAAACATCCTAGTACTAGAATCTAACATTTACTATCACCTTTTATATCTTCTGTTAGATCAATTCTATAGTAGGATTGTTGTTTCATGAATGGAGATCTGTTTGCTCCTTTTTTTCTTGTTTGACACTTGTTTATTTTAGGTATACAACTAGCCCACATTTGTTCAATGGAGATGCTGAGGTTGCATTTGCTCGAGTTAGAGATAAGGTCTCTTCATTTTCCCTGACAATAGTCTTACATGAAGTGAAATTAAACATCTTACAAGTTCCCCCCACCGTCCACCCAAAACACATCAAGAAATAAGAAGAAAAGAAAAGCTTGCTTTACATTCTCTCAATAATAATTTTAAAAAAGTGACTGGTAATTTATTTCTCAACCTTTATTGTGTTCCCTCCTTTATCATATTTTAACTCCAAGTCCATTTTACAAGCAGGTGAAAGTGCCACTATATGGATGTGATTGTTATGCCTATGCCCTACTGGCCTCTGGTTTTGTAGATCTTGTTATTGAGTCTGGTCTCAAGGTAAACTGCCCTTTTTTTATGCTACACTGCATGATCAATAGAGTCCCAAACAAACAAACATGTGCTTGAATAGTTTTTCACTCAATGTTAGAATTGCAACGCCATCCTTGTTTGAAATTGGTTAGAGTTACCAGAAGTAATTGTTAGTTCAAATCAGATAAACTAATAATAGAATTATCCTTAACTATTTCTCAAATTTAATATTGTTATAGAATGACATATAACAGTTTGGTTTATTGACGAGGACCTTGCTACACACCCTTCATTTATCACTCACAAATAACCACTCCTGATGTGGCAATTGCATGTTTTGTGATTTTGCCACATCAGGAAGTGTTTGTGAGTGGCAATTATAAGGGTGTTTAGCATTTTCCTATTGACAAATAAGGTAAACAAAGTCACAGTGAAGTGCAGGTGTGGTAGCTTTAAGAAAATCGTATTTATTGGCCTTCCAGGATCTCAAAACTACCTGCTAATGTGATTGTGAATTGTGAATGTTTTTTTTCAGCCCTATGATTTCCTTGCACTTATACCAGTGATACAAGGTGCTGGTGGGATTATAACTGATTGGAAAGGACACAAACTTAACTGGGATGCTTCATTGGGATCACCTGCAACAAGTATATATAATCATTTAGCTTATTCTGTTTTCTAATTTTCAGAAGACTCCACTTCATTATTTCATGGCTTTGACTTTGTCAATATAGTTTTGAAAGTAATATATGTCTGAGTTGATGTTCCAGGTAATGCTAAAAATTATGTGTTTCACTTTTCAGGCTTTAATGTAGCAGCAGCAGGGGACAAACATGTTCATAAACAAGCTTTAGACTTGCTGAAATGGGCCTAAATCAAATCAAGCGCTTGAACTTGATGTAATTAGGATATCAGATTATTAATCTGAAGCTGACCCGACGGGGCATGAGATTTGAGGGCTCCCTAGAATTGCCAACAGTTAGGCCAAATATTGACCAACTGATCAAATAAATCCAGTAATCAATTCTCATCTGTTATAGCAGGAGCGACGTCCGTTAACTTATTTGAAATGAAGTGTATTTTTATCAAACATCGAACTTGAAAAACGTGAAATGGAATTGGTTTTACACTCTGAACAAAGAAAATTGAATTATATATATTGAAATTCAAAATTCTGGTTAAAAAGTAGTACGGATTATTAATGGTTGATTTTTAATAGTTTGGATTAACATGATCTTCATGGAGAGATTTTTACTTTTAGGATCATTTTATTGTGATTTTTGAATAATATTTTAAAGATGTTTACATAGAAATGAGAACTTATATTTATAGGGGTAGAAATAAAAGAATTTTGATAAGTTTAAACTCTTTTAATATTATTTAATTAAAAAATAAAAAAATTAAATAATAACTATAATAACCAAAATGTATTTAAATATTTTAATACTCAAAAATATTCAGTGTCAACATACACATCTCGAAAGTGAAATGGTGGGAAGTGTAGGTGATTGATTATTTTCACAATAACAGGAGGCAGTGTGTAAATGATACAAAATTCTGCATAAAAGAATAAAGGGAAACAAATTGTGTCAACAATCAAACAATCAAATATCCAATTGGAATAGCAATGCTTCTCCTCAGACAACTACATCACACTGACTCTTCCATGCCTCCTTCCCTACAATACAATATTGCTTATTCTTTTCCGAAATCAGCACTGTAGTGAGCACTTGATTCAAGTTTCTTTGCTTCATTCAGTTTCCTTACAGCCTGGAAAATATTTTAAAACATCCATCTCAAAAATGAAGAATCACCAATATGATTAACTCATTTTCTTAACACTCCAAAAATTCCTCAAAATGTTAATATTTGGGAAAATAATAGTTGTCGTTATAAGGAAATAGTTCAAACAATCCTTAAGTTTTTAGTGTAGTCACTTTTAGTCCTTGAATTTTCCTCAAAGTGGCGCTTTTAGTCCTTAGGTTGGGGATCTTGGCCCTGTGTTAGAGTTAGGACAATGTGATCAAGTCTTTGAAGTGGGATAATAAATTAAGGACTGAGCCGGCTATTATCCTGTAAGTTAAGGACTAAAACTACCATTTTTCCTTAAAAAATATTTTGTTGTATCCAAACAAAACATCTAGGGTGTATAGAAAACATTGGTCCATATTTACCATACAAAGATACTAGCATTATAGGAGAGATTATTTTACTTAAGGTACACTGTATTTTCTCATTCTGCATTCTTGAAATTTGATGATCTATATCTAGATGAACAGTAGTGTACCTTCATGAAATCTTCATGGATGACGTAATCACGCTCTGCACGAATTGCAGACATGCCAGCTTCAGTGCAAACATTGCGAAGATCAGCTCCATTGAAGCCCTGAAGAATACACCTTCTTTGTTAGTAATTCTAGATTAAGCGTGTGAGAAAGGTGACACTATGTAGTTGGGATCCTTGGTGCACACCTCAGCAAGCTTAACAACAGCTTCATAGTCAATTTCACCATGCTTGGCAATCCCAGAAGCATGGATCTTGAGTATCTCCATTCTTGATTGTTCATTAGGTAGCGCGATCTCTATTTTCCTATCTAATCGACCAGGACGAAGAAGAGCTGGGTCCAGAACATCAGGTCTATTAGTTGCCATGATCATTTTTACCTGGAAGAAAATAAGGAAGAGTATCCCTAAGCATATATTCATCACAACTTTTATTTTCTCTTTTCTTATTCTTTAAAAATGTAATTTAACCAGTAAATGAATGTAACTATGAACTGAGTTCCAGAATAGAACCCTTAAGCAACACAGTACAGAGTTAATGTCAGACCTTCCCAAGCTGGTCAAATCCATCCAATTGGTTAAGCAATTCCATAAGCGTTCTTTGAATTTCGCGGTCAGCACTTGTTCCTTCACTAAAACGTCGCCCACCGATTGCATCAATCTCATCCATAAATATGATGCATGGCTTCACAAGAATACAATTGTTAGTTCATCCTAAAGCATATTTAGGTTAATTCGGAGACTTGAGTTATTCCATATTCATCAGGTTCTTACCTGATGATCACGAGCATAGTTAAACATTTCTCTGATCAACCTTGCACTCTCACCTATGTACTTATCTATAATGGCACTTGATACAACCTACATTGATTAATAATAATATCGGGTGAGATTGTCTCTTGGAAAAGAATAGTTAAGCCAGAGGGATGACAAGTATATTCAGAAGCCATGGGCAGTAAACTCTTGCCTTCAAGAAATTAGCATCTATGTTACTTGCAATGGCCCGGGCCAATAATGTCTTGCCTGTCCCAGGAGGGCCGTAGAGGAGAACACCCTAAAGCAATTAAAAGTGATTACTTGAAGTATATATGGATGAACATCGCACACAATGATAATGCACCACTTTAAATGCAAGAATTACTTTGGGAGGTTTAATGCCAACTCTGAGGAACAGTTCGGGATTCATTAGTGGTAGTTCTATAGATTCTCTGAGTTCTCTTATCTGATCTGATAATCCTCCCACAGCAGCATAGCTCACATTTCCAGGATCTTCATGAAGCATATTGTATACTACTGGATCAACCTGCCACACCAAAAATAAATAAAAAGCCATGATATGGTAAATAGTTTATAGTATGAAGCACAAGATAATGAATGCAAGAACAACAAAGGATTGAATTTAAGCACAAAGGCATTTACTAACTTCACGGGGGAGTGCCCGCATAATTGTGAGAGTTGTCATGTCAAGAACTACTCTAGTGCCTGAAGTCAGTTTTTCCTTGTCTACTTTATTGCGACAACCAACCACATATCTTGGACCACTGCTGGCTTTGACAATCACTAGAAAACATTGGAAGATATATTTAGTAGATCTTCTATTACCTTGAATTTTCATATCTAGGAACAAAAAAAAAACCTGCAACTATGTACTCAAAATCAAATACGGAACAATCTCAAAAAGAATAAAATGACGAGAGACAACAAACTTTTCCAATGTTATCTCCCAATATTAAAAAAAATTTCCCAAGGTCATGATAAAGAGCTCCCATTCACAGCAGCAGGAAAAGGTCAGTGAATGAGAGCACCTGAAACTACATAGAAAATGCAACTGAACAAAAATAAAAACTCAATGAACTAGAAGAAAAAATATAAATATATTACATCTTTCATTGTCTAGAGGTCTGAGCACCTCGCCTATGATCTGGCCAACACTCTGAAGAGACTTCAAATCATCTTCTGTTTTATTAAATTCCTTTTTTGTAGCCCGCAAATTCTCCCTTGCTGCAAGCACAAACTTCAATCCAGTTACAGTAATGAAACTGCATGTATGGTGAAATATAACAACTAAAAAAATTATGAATTTTCGCTAAAACTAAAATCAATGCTTTGCCTGACAAATATACAAAGCGCATATAATTGAAAACGCTGGTGACTATATAGCTGCGAGGTGAGGTACGTGATTTCTTCTAGTCATTCAATTAAGCAAAAATGTAAGATCCTCAGCTATGTGAAACATTATCTAAGCATCCGATAAAGTTATCATAAATTGAAACATAAAAGCATCCACAAGATGTGCATTAAAGTTGAATGTGGCTACAGAGTCAATTGGAGAGCGTAAAAAAAAAAAAAAAAAAAAAAAAAAAAAAAAAAAAAAAAAAGGTTCAATCCAACCTGCTCGTACGCGGGATTCGAGCTCCTTGTGCTGAAGAAGCTTTTTCCGGTAATCGGCAGTGGCCGTGCGGCGACGAGTGGCGTCTTCAGATGCCTCGCTCGTCATCGGAGTTTAATGATAGATCTGTAAATCGACGAAGTAAGAAAGAAGGCGAACTTCTTCAATTCCCAACTTGTGATGAAAGAAACGTATTACTCTTTCTCTTAAAATTCGACAAAGAAATAAGAAAGCTCTGTGAAAGAAAAGGTCAATACTCAATACTTGCAGATTTTCAGCATATGCCAACCGGCCCAAACCCATCTCGAAGGCTATTGTACTCACAAGAAGCCCAATCACGTGCGGCCCTATTTAAAAGGCGTTTGGGCTCCTTCTTGTAGGCAAATTATTGTATGGACCATAATAAAAAGTACATTTTTAATATATTAAAAATACATTATTCATGTTCTGAGTATACATTATATAAAATAATATACTTTTTTTGAAATTAATGTATATTTTTAATATATTAAAAGTACATTATTTGTATACTGAATATACATTGATAGTATGGTCTACATAGTTGTGTGGACCATAATGATTGCTTCTTGTAGAAATGTGAAAACTAGAATTTGTATTCTATTTCAATGCCCATAGATAGCATTTTAATTTCGGAAAATGCTTTATTCTCCTAAATTTTTCCTCCATTATTTTACTTCCTGATGTGACTTTTATTCATTGGTTGCTCATGAATTAATAACTCAAATAATTTTAAAAAGTAACATTTAGTTATCAATTACTCCGTAGATGTTAACATATCATGAGGGATGGATTGGAGAGGAAAAAATATGAAATGGAAAAAATACAACTTTAATAATGAGAATGAAATAATGATGATGAAATGATCTACACTCTAAACATCATCCCAAAAGCACCCTTAATTTCTTTATAATTGTCAAGTTTCAACCTAATTTATAAGGCGGTTTAAGTATTAACACAAACTACTATGTACTATGTAGTGTCATGACACTTTTTGTTACCCATTTAAATGAGTGGTTACAAATTGACAATATTGTGACTATCAAAACACTAATTAATAATATATTAGCATAAAAATATTTAAAATATAACTAACAAGAATTGAATCAACAACATTAATTAATAATAAGTTATTCTAATTTAAAATCCAATCAAGTAAACTAACTTACAACTTAAAAATGAACCGATACTATATTACTTAGAGTTAATAGCATTAAAAAAAAAAAAAAAAAAAAAAAAAAAAAAAAACACTTACAATAAAAAGAATGTCAGAAAGTAATTTCCTAAATTATATATAAAATTAAATCAAAATCATTTTCTTAGCTCCACATTCCCAGCTCTTGGAGACGAGCTTTGTTGCGTTGAATTGATTTGGAACCCCACCATCATGTATTAGACTTCTTACTTTGTAGCATTTTTGAATTTAAATTTTAAATATATATATATATATATATATATATATATATATATATATATATATATATATATATATGGAGTATTAGATTAGATAAGAGTAAAGTATGACATTTTGAATAGTTTTAGAAGGTGGGAAAGTTAGCACATCCCACAAAAATGGCTATAATATTGGATAACCCAAACTAAACTACGGCATCAGATTCATTCTTCCATTTCATCCATGAAAAAAAACGGAAAAAACAAAGAAATGAATAAATAATTAATGAAGTCGAAAGAGGCTTGTTAAAGGCATTATTACAGATTTCAATGATTGCCTAATAAATCGCATATCTTCCTGTTCACCGGGAGGGCAGGAGATGGAAAAGAAGCCTAGAGGACTCTCTCTCATCTCCAATTTATTATCTTCTCTGGCGCCGCCCTCATCGCCGCCGCCTACCATGGCGACCCTCCTGGTTGTTCTTCTTTTCGTCTTTATTGCTTTGGCCAACCCAAACGCCATTATGCTCCACGTTCACGCACAACAGTTTCTTTCTGCAAAGTCTTTTGAAACCTTCGTTCCTCCCGATAATTACCTCCTCAACTGCGGGTCCTCCTCCGCCGCCACCCTTCCCGGCGGCAGAATCTACCAGCCCGACCACAACACCAACAAGTACTTGTCTAACACCGGAGAAGAGATTCAGGTTTCCGCTCCCCAAGGACAAGATAATGATAAGGACATTCCCGCCATCTACCTCAGCGCTAAAGTCTTCGTCAGCGAGGCTACCTATACGTTTCACGTCACGTCCCCGGGCTTGCACTGGATACGCCTCCACTTATGGGCATTTAACGCCCCCGGGAACGACCTGAAGACCGCCACATTCACCGTCATGACCGAGACGTTAGTCCTCCTCTGGGATTTCCAAATGGAAAACGAAACCGCCCCCACCCTGAAGGAGTTTCTGGTCAATGTCACCACGGAGCGCTTCCCGTTGACTTTCAGGCCGGCGAAGTCAATGGCATTCATCAACGCCATTGAATTTGTGTCTGCCCCGGACCCAATGTTTAGCAATTTGGCCACTCTGCTTGTTCCTGCTGCCGAGCACTTTGAATTATCAGGGAACGCTTTCGAGACCATTCACCGGGTTAATGTTGGGGGGCCTCAGCTCGACCCAGAAAAAGACACCATCGGAAGACGCTGGGATTCTGACGAAAAGTATCTTAAACCTAAAGAGATGGGACAAAAGGTTTCGGTTTCACCCGGACTTATTTCTTATCCTGGTGGAGGAGGCTCCCCTGTGATTGCTCCGCCCCTGGTTTATGCCTCCGCCATAAAAATGGCGGATTCTGGAGTTATGCAAGCTCTTTTCAACATAACCTGGCAAATGGATATCGATGACGATTTTACCCACCTTATTCGTCTGCATTTCTGTGATATAGTGAGCAAGGGTCTAAACGAGCTCTATTTTAACGTATACATCAACGACAAAATTGCCATTTCCGGGCTGGACTTGTCTACAATCACCTCCAAGTTAGCAACGGCTTACTTCAAGGACTTGGTCATAAATTCTTCCATGGTTACCAGCCCGCTGAAAGTCAAAGTTAGTCCCTTGAATGACGCTCAAGGCACTAAGAATGCGATACTTAACGGGATGGAGGTGTTTAGGGTGAACAACTCGGTGGGTAGCTTAGATGGGGAATACGGGGTTGACGGAAAGGCCGCTGATGGACATTCCGCCGGCGGAAACGCTGCAGCTGCTGTGGGGTTTGCGATGATGTTTGGGGCGTTTGTTGGGCTGGGGGCAATGGCTGCAAGGTGGCAGAAGAGGCCCCAAAATTGGCAGAGGCGGCAGAGTTTCTCGTCCTGGTTGCTTCCCATCCATGCCGGAGATTCAAGCTTTATGAGCAGCAAGAGTAAGAGTAACTCAACAACTGCGGGGTTAGGGCGCTTCTTCACACTTGCAGAATTGCAGGAAGCAACCAAGAACTGGGACCAGAAAGCGATCGTCGGCATTGGAGGTTTTGGCAACGTCTTCCTTGGAGAAATCGATGATGGAATCATGGTGGCCATCAAGAGAGGAAACCCACAATCCGAGCAAGGCATCAATGAATTCCAGACAGAAATCCAAATACTGTCCAAGCTCAGGCATCGCCATCTGGTTTCATTGATTGGGTATTGTGATGAGAATTCGGAGATGATTTTAGTTTATGAATACATGGCCAATGGACCACTAAGAGACCATCTCTACGGAAAGGACTTGCCCAGCCTTCCTTGGAAGCAGAGGCTAGAGATATGCATTGGAGCTGCCAGGGGACTTCACTACCTCCACACCGGTGCATCTCAGGGGATCATTCACCGTGATGTCAAGAGCACAAACATCTTACTTGATGAGCACTTTGTGGCTAAGATGGCTGATTTCGGGCTCTCCAAAGATGGACCCACCACGGGGCAGACACACGTCAGCACGGCCGTGAAGGGGAGCTTCGGCTACCTGGATCCAGAATACTTCAGAAAGCAGCAACTTACAGATAAGTCAGATGTGTACTCATTTGGGGTGGTGCTGTTTGAAGTGTTGTGTGCTCGTGCAGCCATTAATCCACAGCTGCCGAGGGAACAAGTGAACTTGGCCGAGTGGGTGATGCAGTGGAAGAAGAAGGGGTTGCTGGACAAGATCATTGATCCTACCCTGAAAGGCAAAATTGACCCTGAATCGTTGGAGAAATTTGCAGAAGCTGCTGAGAAGTGCTTGGCAGAATATGGTGATGATAGGCCTTCCATGGGTGATGTGTTATGGAGCCTGGAATATGCTTTGCAGCTGCAGGAAAACTCTATACAAGTAAAGGCTGAGGATGAAGATATGGCACCTGCAACAGCATCAGCCTCAGCCTCCCCTGCTGCTGCAATCCCTGAAAACCGGCTGCCCATTCCTTCACCTGAGCAGAGCACTGCTGGAGCTCAAGAAATTAATGAGCATTCAGAAACCACAATGTTTGCTCATCAGTTCTCTGCCCTCAATGGGCGATAAATGTTCAAGTGCTCATCATGAAAAATTTTATGCTTACAAATGATATTCTTGGTAGTTCTGTAAATGATTTAGTGCTGATCGTGCAAACCACATTAATGGTTGCACACAAAGTTCTTGGTAATGCGGATTCACACGATGGCAAAACCAAGTAATAACCCAACAATGATATATTAGTATTAACTACTAGTTCTCTTTCCATGCTAGTTAGAATTTGACATGTTCACCTTTCATTGTCCGCCTAATGAGCATCACTAGCCATGAATTTCCCAATTCGATGGCGTGAGCCCAGCATCCTATTAGCAGCAGCATCTTGTAATTTCCCGCAACATCCAATTTTACATCCTTCAGTTTTGACTCCTTGCTCTCTGTGCAGCCTTTTCTGTTGCCGCTGTTGCATTGCTTTTCACCTTAATTGGTTACTGTTAGGATGGATCAAATACAGACTTTCAGCCCACAGGGAAATAAAAACAAAACCAAATAGCAGCAGAATTTGGGAGAAGGAAAACCATTTACTACATAATTCTGGAAAAAGGAATTATGAAGGCATCCTAATTCACACGTCAGCATCCTTTAGATCAGTAGAGATCCTTACGTTTTCAAGGTACAGAAGCACAGCTATATCTTCCAAGTCACAATTTATGTTACTGCTGTTCTTCCAATGTCTGATGATAAGCAAAAGTTTGATTACTGGAGGTATCAAATCTTGTCAAAATTTGACAGTCCAGCACCTAAACATCAATTAAGGAGTTAAAAACTAGCAAAACAATCAGAATGCAACTATAAGGTACAGAACTAGACATAGAGATGCTGCAGAACTAAGCCCCAAAAATAACTATTGCTCCCCTCTGCTTCTTGCAATAGTTAGTATTTCCATCATCTACCAAAATGACATCACCATCATCATTATTAACTTCTTCCGCCTTTCTCTTAACCTTTGTTTCATTGGGGACATACGATAAATCCGAACCAGTAGCAACAGTACTGTCAGATAACTTTCTTTCATTTCCAAGAGGAAGTTCAATGCTCGTTGGCAGAAGTACAGAATCATCATCCTCATTGGTCTCCTGAGTAGCAGCAGTTTGAGATGCTATAGATGTGCTTGTACCATTGTGAACTTCCTTGTTTATAGTTTCAGTCGCAGGAGCTCGAGTCCATCCAGAGAGAACCATTTCATCAGGTTCTTTCTCGTCATCAAACTCTTCCCTGAAATAATGGAGCATATGAAACAGTGAAAGTCAGATCATATTGCTAGTAATAAGGGAAAACATGATGTTCCATCAATTAATAAAGTAGCAACCATCCAGACTATATACATAGATAAAGCATAGCATAAATTACTTGGCAAGATTCACGAAAATTCTGGAAAGCATGAGTTTAAGCTTCACCAAAATTTGATTGGGAAACAAAATCCAAAACAACTACATTTTAGACATTTAAGTTCATAAAACTTTAAGCCGCCATACACATTAGTTTCCACCATAAGAACTTAGTTGAGCTTGAATGCAGTGACAGATCACAGATGGAAGGTAAACTTTAGAATAAACAAATCCTATCTACAATAGTTTACCAGCTAAACCAAAAATAGGGGAAGAAACAAACCTATGCTTAATATAGATATTACAAGTTAGCTCCTGTCGGAGATCCTCAACAGTGACAGTGGTGCCCCCAGTAACAGGAGATGGAAGCTCACATAGTACCTAAGGACAATATAAACAAAAAGGACAAATATTAGTACTAAAGAAGATTAGCAAGCAACAGAAGAGAGATTACAAGTCAACTACCTTGTCAAGGTTTGCTGTGTAATTCACTACCATATCTTCCTCAAGATCATCACCCACCTCATAGAGAAGTGCTGCTCCATGCATAACCAGTGGAAAATTCATACCTAGCTTTGCTTTCACTATCTTCTCAACAAAATCCCTCAGCTTTGACCTATGAGTATTGATCTCAAGTGTAAAAGGTGTCTGCCAGCAAGTATTGTATGAGAACAGATTCAAGTCCATACTAAGATAAAATTCAAAATTCTTTCCAGAAAGGCCAGAGAATTTCACAGCTGTTGAAGTTTATACCTCAGAACAGACATAGCAGGATTTGTTTGGTTCAAATGGATCAACTGGCATAAGCATCATTTTTCTGGAAGGATGTTCAAGACAATAGGTCATCCTACATATAAGATGGGAAGATATTGAGCAGCAATCACCAGGTAAAAGAACTTAGGAACTACCAGTATTTTGAGGTCCACCAAAAGAATCTATTTATGAATTTGTTCAAACAGAAAACTAGCTAGCATTTTGTTAATTAGTGAAAGAAGGCTCATCCTAATGATCAGGAAATGTAACAGAAATTAGTTGCCACAAGCTATTAACTTGAAGGAATTTAGCCCAGTTATCAAAAAGCAAACACCAGAAATTGGCTCACCTGCAGTTTTTCAGATCATTTTGCAGCACCTTAATAGCCTCAATCACAATCAACCCAGCAATTATAGCATTTGTTGTCGCAACAGCATGCACAATATTTCCAGCAATACCTTTCGCTTCAAAAAGGTTATGCAAGGGAATACCAAAGGAAGATGCCCGAATATTAGCAGCAGCAGTTACAAATTCCACAGCTAACTGATCATCTTTTTCAAAACTCAAGTTGCCAATCTCCTGAAGAGGTTCAAGAAGTAAACACTAATGATAAACTAAAATTTGGTAAACACTATTACACTAAGCCTAATTAAGATATTTTAAAAGAGTCAAAAGTCAAGACATTGCAAAACCTTTGGTCTTTTCAAGAAAAAGAGCTTTAGACACTCCAAAAATACTGTAGTGTTTTCTTTCAAGCTCCATAACTCCTGTGGATTTTTAAGACCCAGAGATGCCATTGCAGACACTGATGAAGGATCACCATCTTTTGAACCTCTATCTCCATTTCCATTATGTTGAATCTCTTCAGATGGCAATACATCTCTAATGTATGTAGGCCTTGGTTTGTTACGATTCTTCCATGCTTCTTCATTTGACAATGCTACCTTAATGTTGTAGCCAAAAACATGGTCATATATTCTCTTCCCATATTGTTCAACGTCCTCATTTGGTCTGCATTCAAAAATATCTTCCAAATGTTCTGATGAGCTACAAGAATCACTAGAGTGCACATTCAGATCATTTTCCTGATTCTTGTCCCCAAAAAGCTTTGCAAAAAGCAGATCTTTTGCCCATACAATGCAGTGAACAAACTGCAATGTCAGAAAATCAGGTTAAAGCATGCTTTTGGAACCAGATCTTCAAAAAAAAAAAAAAAAAAATCATCATGAGTGAGATCTATATAAGCCACAATTTCGATGAATATATTTTGGGCCTATTTACTCCTAGAAGCACTTATGCTGATCTTTTACTTTGTTTGGATAGGCTTATGAATATGGCTTATGGCTTTTGGAAAGTTGTTTTGCAATTGTTATTGTCTCCATAAGCCATCAGAAGGAGCTTATATATTTTATTTTAAAAGAAGCTAAAAACTAGCTTTTCAAGGACCAGTTAAATCACTTGCTCTTTTTGAGCTTATCTAAATTTGCTTATCTTAAGAGTGCCCATTTAGACTGTTTGTCCAAACTGAGAAAAAATCAAACACTTTAGCATTTCCCTTATGCATATATAATCTACAGTCTACACAATAACCTTACTGAATATCAAAAGCATTGAGTCATAACCTTAGAACAAGGACAAGCCTAAAACTATTCCCACCAGTGGAATGAATACCTTTTCTTTAAAGGCCAAGGAGTACTAAAACTAAACACTGATTTATTGTACATTAACCCAATTGAATTTATGAGAGTCATTTTCATAAAACAATAAAAATATCACCAATACCTTGGATGGAGTGCTTGTAATTGTGCATACAGGGTAAATTTTTGGAGCTGGTTTAGGTTGGCACTCGTAACACTCTGTTTTGCCCTTCACATGCACAGTAACCTGCCAATACCAGAATGCAAAACAACATGAATTGCAAAACAAATCTAGGTCATCATGTTTCAACAGTGGAGTATATTCCTTACAAAAAAAGTAGGTGGTCAAAACAAGACTGGGAAACTAAGAGCAGAAAAGTAATCCTTTTCTTTCCCTCAAGTGAATTTCTGTCTCATAGTTATAATCTTCCAGCATATAAGAGCAAACAAAATTTGTTTGTAACAGTCTTTTGACTTATAACAGAGATAACTAGTTTCCCCCAGACTCAGAATATTCATCTAAACTTAATTAGAAATCTTTGATGGCACACATAAAATCTCAAGTAAATAATAAAAACATGCAAGAACATAAAACTGAAATAAGTTTTAAGACACCAGGTGAAACAGTAATCCTTAAGTATCTAACATTACCTGTCCCAAGAAACCAGTAGTCCCACTTTCGACCAATGGAACATTGGCTGCCAAGCAAAGTCGGTTCACATGTCGCCTAGCATCTAGATTGTCAAGGCCATTAAGAACAACATTGAATTGTTTAAAGAAATCCACATTGAAGTCAGTGTCTTTAACATTTGCGTGGTAAGGTGTAATTTTCATTCCAGGCCTAAATTTCAAGACGGCATCCCTAGCAACCTGGGTGAAAATTTGAGAGAGCATATCAATAGAGTGAATGAATGTGCCATGAAATAGCAACTTAAGGTACGGACATGCTTTACTTACTTTGGACTTAGATTGCCCAACATGAGATTGTCGAAATAGAAACTGTCTGTTTAAATTACTCACTTCTATTGTGTCCATGTCAATCTGCAAGTGAATATGATTCAATGATAAGAGATTACAGCAATCTATACAAAAATAAATAAATAAATAAATGCAAGTATATTATACCATCCAAATATCCAATCACTTGTATAACCCAACTGTAGAAATTTTCTAGAATGATATATAACCTAGATTATCAAAAGCATATATGGAATTAGTATCGGGCACTCAGAGTACCTAAGTTCACAGCTATAACTTTCCAAGTTTGTCACATAAAAAGGAAACAGCGTAGATCCATAATCTGACCATAGCACATTAGCACTATTTATTTCCACTCTCCATATACCAATTAATTTACTGCTTCCCACCAAATATCCATTCTCACTAATTTTCAAGTCCTAAGTTCCAACCATTGCATGGATATCCTTGTTGCATGGTTTCCTATCATTCCCAAATCAGAACAAACTTTTAGTAGTGCAATAATCAAACTCACTTAGACTAGGTCAAAGAATAACCTGGAAATTTTAGTAATGAGTTTATCATCCAAACCAGAACTTCGCGACGCAACAAATTGCGAAAACAGAATAAACAACTTGAAATGTATAAAGCCTTTGTTCCTAAAACTCATACACAGAGTGCATCACTACAAAAGTCATAATGCTAGACCGATAATACTAAGTTGCAGATATTAAAAAACGCTAGACCAGAAACCTCGGAACTTAACGTTTTGCAGAACTCACAATGTGTACGTCTTGGAAGTCGGAAAGCGCGAGGGTTTTCAGAAGCTCGCAGCCAATACCACCGGCACCAACCATGAGCACTTTCGCGCGCTAAATAATGTCAAAAACAATACGATCATTTGCAAGGAATATAGGGAGAAAAAAAAAAACACGCAAATAGGTAGAAATGAAAAATTGCAGCGAGAAAAGAGTGTTGTGTGCTTCCAATAGTAGTTTGCATACCTTGATTGCAGATAACTGTTCCTCGGAAGCCATTGGAGACCGGAAGAAGAGAGTTGCAAGTGTGTTGCTATGTGAAAATGCTATAACGCGTGTATTGTATTGCGCAGAACGATGCACGGAGTCAATCCGGTTTCAAAGAGAATGTTTCCAGGAGGAAATGGAGCCAAAAAGACTTTCTTCCTCACTAAGCCATGGGGGCACGGAGCGGTTGCTTTTTGCGACTTTTGGAGGGTGCACCGTCATGTAACGAAAGAGGTTTTTGCGGATTTAGTCCCACAATTATAGTGACACTGACAGAATTGATCTATGATTTTTGAACCTTGCAATTTTAGTCAACGATTATTGATTTTTTTTCAAAAATGGTCCTTCCGGCCACTTTTCCGTCAAAATTTCACCGGAAAAAAAAAATTCCATTTTTAGCGGGGTTAAAATTGACTTTTTACTTATCTCAAAAAATTAAAAGAAAAAATTGATATTTGACTACATACAATATTACTGGGCTACATACTACTGCCCCAGGCGGCGGAGTTCCTGGAGCAGGCAGGGCTGTCAGTAAGCGGCGGAGCGGCCGTGGCGTTCCCCGGGCTAGTTGGGTTATCCGGCAGCAGCATTGGAGTGGTACATGTACTCCGCCGCCTGGGCCAGTTGTAGCCCAGTAATATTGTATGTAGTTAAATATCAATTTTTTTCTTTTAATTTTTTGAGATAAGTAAAATGTCAATTTTAATCCGGCTAAAAATAGAGAATTTTTTTTTCCCGGTGAAATTTTGACGGAAAAGTGGCCAGAAGGACTATTTTTGTAAAAAAAAAACAATAGTCGTGGACTAAAATTGCAATGTTCAAAAGTCGTGATCAATTCTGCTAGTGCCACTATAGTCGTGGGACTAAAAGTGCAAAAAACTCAGTAACCAAAACCACCAAAAGTTAAAATTAACCAACTATAATTACTTCTTCCCCTAAAAAATAATTACTTCCTCCCTAACCTATTAACTTCCACTTTTAATTCTTGAATTCTTGAATATTAAGTAAAAAAGTTAAATAAACTCATGTATTAATTATGATTGATCATTTAGGATCATGAATTAAAATATGATCCATTTAGCTTATTATATCTCAAAAAATTTTCACTACATTTTTAACTTGTCTCTGATCGATAGCTGCGGTAAAATTATTATTGACATGAAAAATAAAATGCTAACATGTTATATATATGGATGTTTTAGACAATTTTTTCTCCTAAAATGTTGAATTCTCAACCTTAAGGGCTTCACGCCTTAGCCTAATCGAGCATGTGGGAGGAAGTAAATCGTGATAATATAGTGATTCAACACACATGACCAAAATGTCGATGCGCACAATGAATCTACCCACATTGAGAAAAGGTAGTTTTGAATGATTTCTACCCTAGTTCATCATATTCTTCGCCATTTGTAATCTCCATCGCCAAATTGTCATCAGGCTCTCATCAAATGTGCATAAAAAGCCTTAGACTACAAACCTCTATTGTATTGTAAATGTGGGCTGAAATTAAATTCCTAATTTGCACAGTAACAGAGATTCATGCAATAAATTTTATGGGAAGATGAGAATTGTTTTTGTTGGAAATTTTGTATATTGTGTGGGTGAGTGGACTTTTTTTTTTTAAATCATTTTGCAAATGTATTATATTTTGTGTGCCGAAATTGGTTCAAGATAGATATGGGTATGATTTTTTTTTTTTTTCTTTTGTTTGAAAATATCAAGTATCCAACCACTAAATAACATGTTAATGAGATGGAGGAGATAAAGAATCTAATATATGGATTGCAATATGAATTGTATGTTGTCCGGGAACTATTAGAAGCTAAACTAAAGGAGAAAAAACTGGAAAATTGTAGGAGAGAAATTTTGTATGATTAATGCTTATAATTGCAGCGCAGCATTACTAAGAAAAGTTTTCTTTAATAGGTTTACTAGGTTTTAGAGTTTAGTGGGTGCACTCAAAGTGGTTAATGCTTGTATTATAATTTACTGGGTAAAATTCCAATGCTTATTTCAAAGACTGTACGTTATGTTTCCATTATGTCCAACTTTAATTTAATGGGCAATGGCAAAATGTATTTGATTGTTCATTCTATTTAATACTAAGCAATGCGAGCTGTCAGCTGTGCGAAAATGCAAAACGGCAAAACGTATTTGTTTTTCTTTTTGTTTTTTTTTTTTTTGAATTGAAAAACATTATCTCACAAAATTAAATTCAATTGCTAATATTCTTGAAGGATTTTCGCGGTCCTATTGCTAATATTCTTAAAGAATGCACTCGGTGGATGCAGAAGGATTGACAAATTAGTGTTTAGAGCAGAATCGTGTGGCAGATTCTTTGGCTAAACGGGCCATTCGTCATGAACGTAGTTTGAGACTGATTGATGATCACCTGGAGATGGAAGTGGCTGCTTTGGTGAATGATGACGCCTTTGGGTGCCGCAGAGACGCACTCATCGTAGAGTTGATTTTTTTTTTTTTAATGCTATTGACTTTATTACAATGTAGTATATGTTCATAACTATTTTCTCAATCTACTGAAGCACAAGGTGTTTGGCCATCCTAGAGTTGATTAACTCGGGTGATCCCCTCTTCTTGATTAAAAAAAAAAATGACTATGTGCATGAATATTAATGAGATTAATGATGTCTAACACATGGACTTTTATTTAGAAGATTGTGAGTTCGAGTCTCAGTGGAGGCGTTATTGGCTCTTTGTGTTTCAGCAGGTTGAGAAAGTATATGAACAGAACTTCAAATGGTTATTTGTGTTTCAGCAGGGTTGAAAAAGTACTTCAAATGGTTATTTGTGTTTCAGCAGGTTGAAAAAGTATATGAACATAACTTCAAAATGATGTCATTTCTTTTCATGAAAAGAGAAAAGAAACGACACTTGTTTCGTGCCATTTCGCAAAAAGTAACTCTGTTATTCAGTTTCAGTTCAATACAACTACAGTTTCATTTCGATATAATTACATTTCATTCGATATTTATGCACTCAAAAATGTAAAAATGTTATTTAATTTTATTTTATATACACTATAGTTTCATTAAAACACAACTACATGATCATTTCGATATAACTACAGCTTCATTGCACAATATACACTCAAATATGTTAAATGTTATACAGTTTCATTTTATATACATTGTAGTTTCATTTCACCACAACTACAGTATAATTTTGATATAACTGCAGTTTCATTTGATACGGAGTAATATATAAAATAATATGTGAGGCAGTGTCGGTTTAGATACACTGTAATTTCAGTCAGTAATTAACACACCAAAAAATGTGTGTTTCATAACAGTAACGACGCGTCGTTTCTTAATTAAAGAAATTGCGTTGTTTTGACCGCGGTCCATGATGGCTCTGTTTGGCAGAGCTTATAGCTTATTTTAAGCTACTAATAAGTTATAAGCTCTGTTTGGTAATGTTCCCAAAATAAGTTTCTAGCTTAAAATAAGAGCGTATTTTGGAACGCTACCGAAGGTAGCGTTTCAAAATAAGCTCTTAGATTCCTAGTTTTTTTTTTTTTTTCATCGTTATCCTTATTATTTTAAAGAAATGACATAATTTACCCTTCCCAATTAAAACCTTTTTCTTCTTCTCCTTTATCCGCAACTCTCACAGCAAATATTATTATTATTATTATTATTATTATTATTATTATTATTATTATTATTATATTTACAACAATATTGCTACTTCATTATGAGATGCTAAATCATGATTATGCTAATAATTTTCAAAATGTTAATTTTTTTTAAAGATAAAATGTTAAATTTTAATATATAAACAAACTAATTTAAATTTTATGAAAATGTCTTTTTTTAGTCTTTTTACATTTATCAACTTATCAACAATCTAATTTTACTAAACACTTTCAATCATAATAGCTAGTTTAACGGCTCTTCAATTTTCAGTTCTGAACTTATAAATTTTTAACTTTCAGCTCATTTTCAGCTTTCAATTTCTAGCTTATAGCTTTTCAGTTAGATTTGCCAAACAGAGCCAATATAAGCACACATGCAAACCCGACCTAAATTTTCACAATCGTTATGCGTTGGACCCGTGTCCAGCATGCTTGCTGGACACGGGTAACAGTGCCGTTAGGCACTGTTATCTCTTTTTTTTTTTTTTTTTTTTTTTTTAAAAAAAAAATTTCAGACCGCTTCGTTATAAGAGTATATGTTCATAATTTTATTACTATATTATTAATAACTGTACATTCATAACTCCATAACTGTACGTTCATAACTCTATAACTGTACATTCATAACTCCATAACTGTACATTCATAACTCCATAACTGTACATTCATAACTCTATAATTGTACATTCATAATTTTCGAAGCTCTATGTTCACAATTTTAGAGCTCTATGTTCATAATTTTATCACTATATGTTCATAATTGTAAGTTCATAATGTTAGAGCTTTTTGTTCATAATTCGATCAATAACTGTACATTCATAATTCCATAACTGTAGATTCATAATCTCATAACTGTAGATTCATAACTCCATAACTGTAGATTTATAACTACATAACTGTACATTCATAATCTTCGAAGCTCTATATTCACAATTTTAAAGCTCCATAGTCATAATTTTATCACTATATATGTTCATAATTGTAAGTTCATAATGTTAGAGCTCTGTGTTCATAATTTCATAACTGCATAACTGTACATTCATAACGGCATAACTGTACATTCATAATCCAAAAAAAAAAAAAACAACACCGTTAACGGCAAAACGCGCGCGATTTTTTTTTTTTTTTAACTAAATGACGCGTTTTTTTTTAAAAACGACGTCGTTTTGGGCCCGTGTCCACAATTCACTGTGGACACGGGTCCAGGGCATAATTTGCCAAATTTTCATATTTGGGCCGCTTGTTGAATTATCCATCGCTGCGCGCACGCCCAATTGCATTTTGCGGTGATGGATTGTTCCATTTGCTGACACATGGATTGGGCCAACATGCTGTTTGTTGTCATTCCTTCAGCTATAATGGAACTAAAATAGTTCGATCCGACTCCTGAAACTTGGCAAATTATGTTGTGCAACCGTGTGCACCATACATGCTGTACACGAAATTGAATTTATAATTTTTATACTATAGATTAATAATTATTGAATTTTATATTCACAATTACAAAACTCTATGTTCATAATTTTCAATGTTCATATTCCCATTTGTTGAACTTTGTATTCACAA